CACGATGCAGAAATTAAAATGATATAAAAACAAGAAAGGAAAGCTAACTTCGGGCGGAGCCGAAGTTTATATACCCTTGCAGTTTAAACCGGATATATATAGCAAACATCGGATATAGTTGGCCGATCCTTATGGGAATATGAATATATAATCCAATTTATTACAATACAAAATCTAAAAAAAGTCTCAAGCATCTATCTTCAAAAGTACCAAAGTTGGTATTTCTACCAAAAACCATTTCCGATCGTTTAGTTATATGGCAGCTATAAGATATAGTCGGCCGATCGTTATGAAATTTGGTAGGTCGGATTAACTGACCAAGAATATAATCTGTACCAAGTTCCAGCTTTTTATCTTCAAAAACACGAAAGTTGGGTCATTTCCGATCGTTCAGTTATATGACAGCTATAGGATATAGTCGGCCGATCGTTATGAAATTTGGTAGGTCGGATTAACTCACCAAGAATATAATCTGTACCAAGTTCCAGCTTTCTATCTTCAAAAACACGAAAGTTGGGTCATTTCCGATCGTTCAGTTATATGACAGCTATAAGATATAGTCGGCCGATCCTTATGAAATTTGGCATGTCGTATTATTTTGTCAAAAATAGCTGTTGTGTCAAATTTGAACTCTCTAACTCTAAAAACACCGAAGTTATACCATTTCCGATCAATGCGGTATTTAAAATACCGATCTGGCGGTATTTTCATCACTATGATATTGCCACTTTCATTTTGCTTAGGGTTGGTTCGTTCAGACCTATTTCATCCCATAATCTACGCTGACTTGTAGATTATACTTGTTCTCCGTAACGCCCGTAAAAGGACATTTTTGTCTGAGCCTATGACGCGCCATTTCTTTAGCTCCATGCGGTATGATACTTTTAACACGAACTCATACCTACATCATTCATTTATTTTTCAACCTGCCTTGCAAACTGTGTAAAATCATTTTGATGCAGTACAGCAAATTTCGTTTTTTATATAAAAAGTGTTGGTCACTCAGAATTCTGTCCAAAACTTAACAGTCAACTACTTTTCCCGCCAATTTGGTGAATATGGTAATCTGAATTGATTGTGCAGTTTCTCATCCAAAATATAAACAAACAAAAAAAATTGTATAGTTGATTAAATTTATATTTATAAACAGGTAAATATTTAGTTGTATGTTGTTGATTATTTGTGTTTGTTGCATTATAATACGAATAAATCAACAATTTCGCTTAGTTACAAAAAATCTCTTTTTTTTCGCATATTGTAAAAAAAAAACAAGAAAGGAAAGCTAACTTCGGGCGGAGCCGAAGTTTATATACCCTTGCAGTTAAAACCGGATATATATCGCAAACATCGGATATAGTTGGCCGATCCTTATGGAAATAGGAATATCCAATTTATTACAATACAAAATCTAAAAAAAGTCCCAAACTTCTATCTTCAAAAATACGAAAGTTGATATTTCTACCAAATACCATTTCCGATCGTTCAGTTATATGGCAGCTATAGGATATAGTCGTCCGATCCTAATGAAATTTGGTAGGTTGGATCAACTGACCAAAAATAGAGTCTGTACTAAATTCCAGTTTTCTATCTTCAAAAACACGAAAGTTGGGTCATTTCCGATCGTTCAGTTATATGGCAGCTATAGGATATAGTCGGCCGATCCTTATGAAATTTGGCATGTCGTATTATTTTGCCAAAAATAGCTCTCACCTAAAATTTGAACTCTCTAACTTTAAAAATACCAAAGTTATACCATTTCCGATCAATCAGTTATATGGCAGCTATAGGATATAGTCGGCCGATCCGGGCCGTTCCGACTTATATACTGCGTGCAAAGGAAAGAAGGGTGTGTGCAAAGTTTCAAGACGATAGCTTCAAAACAGAGAGACTAGTTCGCGTAGAAACAGACAGACGGACAGACAGACGGACAGACGGACATGCTCATATCAACTCAGGAGGTGATCCTGATCAAGAATATATATACTTTATAGGGTCGGAGATGTCTCCTTCACTGCGTTGCACACTTTTGGATAAAATTATAATACCCTCTGCAAGGGTATAACAAGAAAAGAAAGCTAACTTCGGGCGGAGCCGAAGTTGATATACCCTGTTAAAACCGGATATATATCGCAAACATCGGATATAGTTGGCCGATCCTTTTGATTACGTCATAATAAAACCAATTAATTACAATAAAATATCTAAAAAAAACAAGAAAGGAAAGCTAACTTCGGGCGGAGCCGAAGTTTATATACCCTTGCAGTTAAAACCGGATATATATCGCAAACATCGGATATAGTTGGCCGATCCTTATGAAAATATGATAATATAACCCAATTTAATATAATACAAAAACCAAACCTAAAAATATACCAAACTTCTATCTACAAAAACACAAAAGTTGGGTCATTTCCGATCGTTTAGTTATATGGCAGCTATAGGATATAGTCAGCCGATCCTTATGAAATTTAGTAGGTTGGATCAACTGACCAAAAATAGAATCTGTACTAAATTCCACCTTTCTATCTTCAAAAACACGAAAGTTGGGTCATTTCCGATCGTTCAGTTATATGGCAGCTATAGGATATAGTCGGCCGATCCTTATGAAATTTGGCATGTCGTAATGTTTTGCCAAAAAATGCTCTCATGTCAAATTTGAACTCTCTAACTTTAAAAACGTCAAAGTTATACCATTTCCGATCAATCAGTTATATGGCAGCTATAGGATATAGTTGGCCGATCCGGGCCGTTCCGACTTATATACTGCGTGCAAAAGAAAGAAGGCTGTGTGCAAAGTTTCAAGACGATAGTTTTAAAACTGAGAGACTAGTTCGCGTAGAAACGGACAGACAGACAGACAGACAGACGGACAGACGGACATGCTCATATCAACTCAGGAGGTGATCCTGATCAAGAATATATATACTTTATAGGGTCGGAGATGTCTCCTTCACTGCGTTGCACACTTTTGGATAAAATTATAATACCCTCTGCAAGGGTATAACAAGAAAAGAAAGCTAACTTCGGGCGGAGCCGAAGTTGATATACCCTGTTAAAACCGGATATATATCGCAAACATCGGATATAGTTGGCCGATCCTTTTGATTACGTCATAATAAAACCAATTAATTACAATAAAAAATCTAAACAAGAAAGGAAAGCTAACTTCGGGCGGAGCCGATGTTTACATACCCATGCAGTTAAAACCGGATATATATCGCAAACAGCGGATATTTGGCTGATCCTTATGATTACATCATAATAAAACTAATTAACTAAAATAAAAAATCTAAAAAAAGTCCCAAACTTCTATCTTCAAAAATACGAAAGTTGATATATCTACCAAGTACCATTTCCGATCGTTCAGTTATATGGCAGCTATATGATATAGTCGGCCGATCCTAATGAAATTTGGTAGGTTGGATCAACTGGGCAAAAATAGAATCTGTATTAAGTTTCAGCTTTTTATCTTCAAAAACACGAAAGTTGGGTCATTTCCGATCGTTCAGTTATATGGCAGCTATAAGATATAGTCGGCCGATCCTTATGAAATTTAGCATGTCGTAATGGTTTGCCAAAAATAGCTCTCGTGTCAAATTTGATCTCTCTAACTCTAAAAACACCGAAGTTATACTATTTCCGATCAATCAGTTATATGGCAGCTATAGGATATAGTCGGCCGATCCGGGCCGTTCCGACTTATATACTGCGTGCAAAGGAAAGAAGGGTGTGTGCAAAGTTTCAAGTCGATAGCTTTAAAACTGAGAGACTAGTTTGCGTAGAAACAGACAGACGGACAGACAGACAGACGGACAGACGGACAGACGGACATGCTCATATCAACTCAGGAGGTGATCCTGATCAAGAATATATATACTTTATAGGGTCGGAGATGTCTCCTTCACTGCGTTGCACACTTTTGGACAAAATTATAATACCCTCTGCAAGGGTATAAAAAAACAAGAAAGGAAAGCTAACTTCGGGCGGAGCCGAAGTTGATATACCCTTGCAGAATATTTTACAAATTATAATTCCAAAATCAAGCACATGATGCCTTCTTAATACTAATACTCTTTTGAACTAGACATATCTCCCTTTTCAGCGTCTTGTATAAGCTAAACGGTCATAAAAGTTACGGTTGAGTTTACAACCCTTTACTTTTTAGATAACTCTCAAATTTTTGTTTAAAGAAATCCTTGGGATTATCCCATTAAAACCTAGTAAACAGGTAATATCAGGTAAACCGTAAATTGGGAATTTAATGAACACGTGCAAGGGACAAAAATTGTGCCAAAGACTATAATTGCGCAACCGGTAACGCAGGTATGAGTGCAATGTGCGAAGCGACTTTGTAACTGTATATATAATAACAGGTAATACCTTATTTCTGATTGGTAGAACCCAAAAATTACCACCAAATATTAAAACCAAAATGAATGACTATACCTAAATTGCAAAAACAGGTAGGTCAGGTACATAAAAAAACGTGGATTTTTATTGCCTTTTTTAAAAGAGGTCAAAATAGGGAACAATAAAGGGGTCAAGGGATAATACTTTTTTGTTTTGGGATATTACCTAAATTGGCTATATATTCAGAAATCCTAAAATACTTAGATCAGTCAATGAACAAAATTTATCGAGTGACGACGTTACTCTGTCAGAAAGTATTTTTACAAGTGCAAAAATTTTAACAGTGCGGAAGTATTCTTTTACCAGTGCAAAATTTAAATAGTGCGGAAGTATTTTTTTACCAGTGCAAAATTTAACGCGAGAAATCAAAGTGTGTTTTTTACTCGTGGTATAAAATTATAAATTAAGAGTACGTTAATAGCGTGCTAAAGATTGTTTTGAAAAACAAACCTTGGTAAGTTTATTTTTCTAAAAACTCCTTAACTTTCCAAATATCGTAAAGTCCAATAATCCCTGAGGACGAAATTCCACGTAAGGTGATTTTTATATAAATTTCATAATTTTAATTTTTTATACAGCACTATAAAAGAATGCCTCGCGTGTCACGTTTGTCCCAGGAGCAACGCCGGCAAGCTGCTTTAAACCGCAGCAGAGCCCGCTACCAACAAAATGCGGTGGAAATAAGAAGCAGGAACTCGCAACACATCGCCAATGTACGAGCAAGCAACCCAGACATACAGGAGGAAAGTCGTGCGCAGAATTCCGCAGCACGGGCTCAGAGGAGACGCAGCGAAAGGATTCGCAATCTAGAGCGCCTTCGGGATACTGCAGCACATGCTGATAGGCGACTGGATCTTCAATTCCGTGTTCCAGAGAGGGTTCGGGACGCAGAATCGCATTTTGATCGTCGACAGAACCCAGACTATCGTGTTTCAGAGAGGATTCGGGACATGGAAGCACGGGCGACCCGTCGAGAAGACCCCGAGGAGCGGCGACGAGAGCAGTTACAAAACACTGCGGACCATTCTACTCGGAGGGATAATCCAGAGTACCGAATTCCGGAACGGATTAGGGACATGGAGGCACATGCGCCCCGCCGAGAAGACCTGGAAGAGCGGCGACGAGTGCAGGTGGAAAATACTGCTGACCATGCGACGCGGAGGACTATTCCGGAGTACCGAAATCCGGAACGGGTTCGGGACGCCACAGCGCGTGCTATTCGTCGAGAGGACTCCGAGGAGCGGCGACAAGAGCAGGTGCAAAATACTGCTGCCCATGCCTCTCGGAGGACCAATCCCGAATTTCGAATTCAAGAGCAGATTCGGGACTCCGCAGCGCGAGCTGCTCATCGCGAGGACCCAGAGGAACGTGCAAGGGAACAGGAAAGGAACACTGGAGAACACCGACAGCGACGAAGGGATACGGAAAACAGGCAGCGAGAACGGGAAAGGGACGCCGATTACAGGAGAGCAACCAGGAGAAATCCCATCGCAAGAACACAGGAGCAACGGATAAACACATCGCAACGCCGGGAAACACGACAACAGCGGAGGATTCGGGAACAACAAATTCGACTAATGGCAGAGGAAAGATTAATAAACTTCAGGATGGACCCCCAAAATCGACTGGATGCCTCCCAAAGGCAGTCTCAACGCAATATGGACGCAAGAGCTCAACTTTCGGAGGACGAACTGGATCAGGAACGAGAACAACAGCGAAATAGGATTCGAGCAACAGCAAGGGATCTTTATCACAGGAACATAAAGGAAGGACCAACGGAAATTTGTATTTGCTGTGGAGGAACATGGTTCCGTTCGCACATACATCCTGGCTATCTCCTCTAAATTTCCCCTCCTAAACGTTGGCAACGCTTTTTATTTGTCACGAAAATTTCCTAGTCCGTCCGGTAAATATAACTTTTGCCATACTTGTCGTCGTGCCATCTCTCTTGGCAAACTCCCGTCACTCTGCCTTTCCAATGGGTTCGACTTCCCAGAAATTCCTGAGTGCTTGAATGGACTCACCTGCCTCGAAGAACGCCTTATCTCACCGAGAATTCCTTTTATGAGGATTATTTCCCTCGGCTATGAAAGGCAATGCGGAATCAGAGGGGCAGTAGTGAACGTTCCAATTTCAGTTCCTGATATTGTGACTGCGCTTCCGCGCTCTTTCGACTCTACTCATGTCATCCAAGTCCATTTAAAAAGGAGACTAGAGTACGCTCACAATTTCATGACTGAAACTATTCGACCCGCTCGGGTCCTTGAAGCTGTACGGTACTTAGTGAATACCGAGCTCTACAGAAAGCACAACATTTCACTGAACGAATCATGGCTAGCAGGACTTCAAGGAATTAATGAAATTCCTTTTATTGCGGATGAATCTGATCGCGAAGCAGTAGAGCAACTTCTTCAGCAGCAACACCTATCCCAAAATGCTGTAGAGCTCGAAGAAAATTTAAATCCCGGAGGCCATGAAACATTATTGGAAAATAATGATACTGCAATTCAGCGCATTGCATTGGCACCGGGTGAAGGCCGTCGCCCAACAAGCTTAACGCTTGACGAAGACGCAGAGGAACTTTCCTTTCCAACTATTTCTTGCGGAGAAATATTTAAAGGAAAGACAACCTATGCAAAAAAAGCCAGATCTCAAATCCGATTTTACGACCGTCGCTGCGCTGTAGTTCCTAAAGTTTTATACATGTATAAATTTTACGAAATGCAGCGCATTCAAAATTCCATTTCAATTGCTTTACGCAAAAAGTCAGGTGCAGTGACCGCTGGTAATCTGCGGGATGAGTCATTTGTTGACAGACTTGTTCAACATGATGATGGCTACCCCATCCTTAAAGGCTTACGGTCTGCACCAGCTCATTGGGAGGCTGAAAAAAAAAAAGTTATTGCTATGATTCGACAATTTGGGTTGCCAACCTTTTTCATTACTCTTTCCGCTGCTGAAACTAAGTGGAATGAACTTTTAGTTATCCTTTCCCTTCTATTGGATAATAGGGCTATAAGCGAGGAAGAAGCGGCAGCTCTTTCCAGCTCCGAAAAGGCTCGGTTAATCCGATCCGATCCAGTGACGTGCTCTCGATACTTCGATTACAGGTTGCGACAATTAATGAAATTGTTCAAAACCGATATTTTTGGGGAATTCAATCTTTCCCATTTTTATTGGAGAATCGAATTCCAGCACAGAGGATCTCCGCACTCTCATGGCATGTACTGGCTTGCTGGTGCTCCTAAGCTCGAAGACGCCGAAAATACCGAGCAAGTAATAAACTTTATCGATAGGTTTATTACTACAAATGGAGACGATCCTGAGCTACAAGAAGTAATTCAGTATCAACGCCACAAGCATAGTGCTTCCTGCCTGAGAGAGTTACGCGGACAGGAGTTCTGCCGATTCAATATGCCATATCCACCTATGCCCGAAACGCTTCTTTTGCATCCAATGGAAGAAAACGAAGTAAATGTTGAAGAACATAAAACTTTGTTCAAAAAAATTAAGGAAGCTTTAAGGACCATTTCTAATGATGACGCAGCTTTATATAATAATTTTGATTATTTTCTGACCCACCTTGAAACTAATTTTGAAGCCTACAAATTAGCCTTACGTTCCAGCTTGAAAAAGCCACAAATTTTTCTTCGCAGACAATTCTCCGACCGATTGCTCAATGCTTATAATAGAGATATTCTAGGCTTACACAGAGCTAATATGGATATTCAATTTATCCTAGATGCTTACGCCTGTTGTAGTTATATTATTAACTACATAAACAAATCCAACAGAGGCGTATCGCAGTTGCTCCGTGAAGCCATGGCAGAAATAAGCCATGGGAATATTTCTATTAAAAGGAAATTACAGCACCTCGGGAATAAGTTTATTAACGCTACAGAAATATCGGCCCAAGAAGCAGCTTACAATATTTTGGGTCTGCATATGTCGGAGGCAAGTGAAGGTACTATTTTTATAAACACTTGCCATCCAGACAAACGAGTTAGATTGACTCGCTCAAATGAAGAATTAGAGCGACTACCAAACAACTCGGTGGATATTTTTGAGCGTAATATTCTTGACCGATATGTGCAAAGGCATGCGCAGTTGGAAGGAATTTGTTTAGCAGATTTCGCGGCTTGGTACAGATTTGTCAAGCGAAATGCACGATCTGCCGCTAATCATAGGGAAGACTATGATGAAGAAAATGATGTGGAGGTAGATGACGAAGATGAAGTTGCGGAGCAAAGCTATCCACTGATGGATGGGTCTGGTTGCGTTAAGAAACGCAGGCATCCCCTGATTCTAAGGTGGGTTCGCTTTAGCATTAACTCTTCACCTTCCGATTATTTCCGAGAGCATTTAATGCTTTTCTATCCTTGGCGAAATGAAGAAGCTGAACTTCTTTCCAACGATATTGAAGACACATTCCGAGTAAACCATGAAGCCATTAGGGCAAAAAAAAGGAACTATGATGTGTTTGATGATATGGAGTTAGAAAGAGTTCTAGAAGATTTGCAAGAGGATAGGGGAGATAATGCTCCTGTTGCGGAAGAACCTGCCTCCCAATTTTTAGACGAAGAGTTTAGAGCTTTGGCAGTACCAAATATAGAGCGGAACGTAAATATTCTTCAGGATGACAATGCGGTAAACAACCCTGAAGAAGACGGCGAACTTCAATTAATTAGACTCCCCCCGTTAGTTTCCAATGATGACCTTTGCTCGCTAACTCGGTCCCTCAACCATAAGCAAAGACAATATTATGCACATGTGATGCATAATGTTGTTTGTAAAAATATTTTTTACGAATATGTTGGTGGAGGGGCGGGTGTGGGAAAAAGCAGACTGATTTCTACCATCTATCAGTCTGTGACTTGGCGAGCAAATAAGCTTCCTGGTGCTACGGATTCGGCAAAGGTTTTATTATGTGCTCCAACTGGAAAAGCTGCTTTTGGAATTGGAGGGCTGACACTTCATTCAGTGTTTTCTCTTCCAATAAATCAAGCTTCAGGTCCCTTAAGACCTTTAAGCAATGATACATTAAATACAATTCATTGCAAGTTGATTGATCTCCAATTAATTATAATTGATGAAATTTCTATGGTTGGTTCTAAAATGCTTTCATTTTTGGATCAAAGGCTTCGTCAAATTTTCCGAAGCCCTGACATATGTTTTGGTGGAAAATCAATTATAGTTTTTGGAGATCGAAAGCAGCTTTCCCCAGTTGGAGACAGTTGGATATTTTCGGAGAGGACAATTAATCCTTATAGCGTTTTAGCAGGAAATAGCCTATGGAGCAACTTTAAGTATTTTGAGCTCACAGAAATAATGCGCCAAAGAGGCGATCATGCATTTGCTCAAGCCTTGAATCATTTATCTGAGGCTTGCATGACAATTGCAGATATAGAGCTCCTAAAACAAAGAGTTGTTTCACCCAGCGAAGTTCCTGATGATGCCATTCATTTATTTTCTTCTAACGAAGAAGTTAACAATTACAATTCCATTAAACTAGCGCAAATTGGGACGGAAGAGTTGGTTTCCACTGCTGTTGATACAGTGAAAACTGCGAACATATCTGCACGAAACAGAGAAAACACGTTAAGATATGCTCAAAATATGAAAACCTCTGAAACACAGGGTTTACCATATAATCTTCATCTCAAAACAACTGCTAAATATATGGTTACCGTCAATATAGACACAAGTGACGGACTTGTAAATGGAGCAACTGGTCAGCTGATGCAAATTGATCATTGCTTAGTGAATGGCTCAAATTTAGTAACGCGACTTTGGATTAAATTTTTGAACCCACGGTTGGTGCTATCGCCAGATCAAAAGTTCGAAACAACCCCGATCCCGAATGGACTCCAATAGTAAAAGCCTCTCGAGTTTTTCAATGTGGAAGATCCGAGCATGCTTCTGTTGACCGAAAACAATTTCCAATTGTTCCCGCTGAGGCTATTACCATCCACAAAAGCCAAGGAGCAACATATAGCAAAGTCGCCGTGCATCTTAAAAGAGGCATCAAGCGAGCTTCGCTATATGTTGGATGCAGCAGGGCCACTAGCGCATCAGGACTTTTCCTTCTAGGCGACTTTGTTCCTCCAACAAGATTTGGAGCCCAAAATGTCCAAGACGAAATTCAAAAGTTAAGAGAGGAAAAGTTCTTGACTACGCATTATGAAATTTTGGTTAACAGTAATGAAGATATCTCTCTATATTACCATAATGTTGAGTCTCTTCGAAGCCATCGCGAAGATATTTTCAATGACCCTATTATTTGTTCTGCGAGTTTTCTTTGTTTTGTTGAAACTTGGACTCTTCCCAGCGAAGACTTTTCTTTACAAGGTTTTGACATTATAAGAAGAATTGATAGCAATCGATTGAATGGTATTGGCAAAAATGGAATTATGATTTATGCCAAGCAAAATATTGCCGAAAATGTAGTTTTCTTGTTTGAGACAAATAAGTCTTTAAGCTCAAGAACTACATACCAATCAATTGCCTTCAAATATCTCGATACATCCTTTATTGTTGTTTATAGGAACCCTGCTTTTCCTATAACACAATTTCGAAATGAAATTTTGGCGGATGTTGAAAGGATACGCAGCTTGGAAAATAATAGCAAATTGGTTATTTTAGGAGATTTTAATATATGCAGATCTACAAACACTGATCGACTTGAGGAATCTTTAAATGAATTTAATCTTAGTCCAATAAACAATTGTGCTACTACCAAACATTTGACGCAAATCGATTGGATATTTGCTGATGATGAGCTAAGGAATGCTGTGGTTCTTACATACAAAACGAGCTATAGTCATCATGATGGAATTTTTCTTAA